GCAGAGGTCAACTTCTGGTCAAGGTTAGACTTTGGTCAGCACTGATTGGGACTCCTTATAAAGATTCATAGAACGCTATCTTTAAAATTCTTAGTGGCATTAATTAAAAGTTGGGTTTCAGGTGGATTGATTATATATATATATATATATAAAGATTTATTAAAGTACTATATATATGACAAATGATTTCCAATTCTGGCAGATTAGATGTCAGTGTCAAATATTTATTAAAGATGAGTAGGGAGAACATAGGAGTCAAAAGTAATCTTAAAGCAAACTCATTGCTGTTGAGTCGACCCTGACTCATGGTGACCCTAAAGGAAAGAGCAGATTGGTCCGACAGGCCTTCCAGGTCGGTAATCTGTATGGAAGCAGACTGCTCCGTCTTTCTCCCACAGAAGCTGTGACCTCGACTTGATGGCAGTGAGAAGGGATCTTAAGGAATCTAATACAAACCTGCCTTTTTAATGATTATGAATGCGAGCACCAGAGATTAAACGGCTTGCTGAAGTGATTAACTTTACACTCGTATGTGGCAACCTTATATTGCTAAGTCGTTTTCTGACTCTCATTTAGCATTCTTTTCATTATAACACAGTAAGGTATAGCACAAAGACTATCAGACAGCTGTTATGTATAAAAAGGAGCCCTGCTGGCGCTGTGACTAAGCACTGAACTGCTAACTGGGAGGCTGGAAGTTCAAACCCACTAGCTGCTCCATGGGCGAAAGATGCAGCTGCCTGCTCCTGTGAAGACTTACAGTCTTAGACACCCTATTAAGTTGGATTGGACTACATGGCAGGGAGCGTGGCTTTTGGTATCATGTATAGTAGTGTGAATAAATAAATAAAAAGGGAGAAATCATTTTAGGCATTGTTACCTATAAGCTAAAAGAAAGTAAAACCTTGACACAAAAACATGAAAAAAGATAAAATTGGGAGAAACAATGGAAACCTTTGTCACAGTAGAAAATACAAGGGGCTTCAAAAGTTAACAGAAACATAGAATTAAAAGATAATGTAATTTTCCCACAAAGTTTTTGAAACACACACACACACACACTTTTAAAGATTCACTTGCAAGCATATTAAAGGCTACTCTAAAGTTATTTATGTATGATTGCTGAGTAACAACCAAATACATTAATTAATCATGATTTTTACTGTTATTAACAGATCAGAAACTTTATATTGAAAACTTTGCTTACAAATGAGTTTATTTGTACTACCATTGTGTATATAATTTTTAAATCAGCTATAATATCTCTGTGAGATGTTTTTATAAAGTTAACTAAAGGAAAGAAACGTAGAGAGGAAATTTTAAGCTGTAAAGTTAAAAAAGACATACTCTTTTTCAAACTCCTTGGTATTTTTCATCTTCTCTAGGTCTATTTTCACCAGCTTTGTTTTCAGATCTTCAATTTCTTCTTTGTAGGGCTCAGCTCCTAAAGCAACTTTGTTCTAATTTTTTAGAGAAAAGAAACATTGTTTTTAATGTCTTACAACCTGTAATACTTTTTCCATTTAAAAGACAAAATGATGCAGAGAGAGGTTGAAAATGAAGAAACGAGTGGTCGAGACAAGCTAGGAAATAGACACGGAAATGGCCGAACAAGGTCATGATTATGAAACAACAAATGACGTCAAGGGACAGAGCAGTATGATCGGGAATATTCTGTACTGACAGTTCAATCTTGGACTACTACTTAAGGAAAGAAAGAATTTAGCTACACAGAAACCATGCCAAGCTAACCGTCATCAAGTTCATTCCCACTCACAGCAGCCCTGTGGATAGGGTAGAAAGGCCCCTGGGGGTTTCTGAGAATACAATCCCATAAAGTTCTAAAGCAATTGAAAATTTTAACATAGTCACTATTGTTTGATATAAACAATTTATAAAGATACAACAGGCTATTCAGAACAAAATTACTTATGATTCTTTTGTCAAATTTCTTAATAAACCCTACATTATCTTAGTTTAGTTACAGCCAGACGTACTCAAATGGTGGTGAAGAGGCTGAAAGTTAATAATCCTCGCAATTAGTTCCCCATGGTGCAGTACAGTACAAAGGCATACCAATCACATTGCTCTAGTTACTTCTGGCACTTAGGAAAGAAATTTCTCTCTGTAGATATCTGTGCCTAACTACAATAAATATTGAAGAAATATGCTATTTACTCTCTTTCTTGAACATCTTAAGGTCAAGTACACTACTCTCTTTTGGTTCTTGTTTTACATCACCGACTGCTCTCAGTATCTTTACCTCCCTCCATAAAAATCAGACTAATAGTGACACCTATTGTGCTTTATTTTGTTGATTCCCTGGTTATACTGTGGGTTAGGTGTCTGGCTTCTCACAGCAAGGTCATGGCTCAAATCGCTAGGCTGCTGCTTGGGGAAGGACGCTTGGCTGCTGCTTGGGGGAAGGACGAGGCTGTCCGCTCCTACATAGGTTCACGATGAGTAGGAACGACTAGACTGCAGTTTTTTTGTTTTTTAAGGTAACTTAATCTTGGCTCATGATTTCTATATGCTGATGATTTTACCCAAAATTATCCCTCCAGTTTGGACTTCTCACACATATCCTTCCCCCAATTGACATCTCACTTTGGGTCTCTGCAAACCAAAGTCAAAAACCCAACTGACCGCCATGGAACGGACTCCGACCCAGGGCAACCCTGTGAGGCAAAGTGGGACCGCGCGTGGTTTCCCAGACGGTAACTCCTACGGGAGCAGCATGCTTCATCTTTCTCCTGAGGAGCAGCTGGTGGGTTCAATGTGAAACTTACTACGCTCCCAGGCTCCTGTAGGCACCCCAAACTCATTGCCAGTAAGTCCATTCTGTGTCAAAGAGACCATATAGCCAAAAGACACCGTGTATTTCTCTCTGGATTACTGTATTTCTAAATATTCGTCTTGCTTTTGCTCTAATATTCTTGTGGCAAAGCCAGGCCACTGCTTGCCAAAGTCCTTTCCCCCTTTTCTCCACAATAATATTTATAACTGGACTTCATACATGGTTGATCCTAGGAATAAGAGCTTGGGCAGAAACGTGGGAAGAGATGTGTACCATTCTTGGCCGAGAGTTTCTAAGGGTGGCCATTGTAACACCATTTTCATCCTGTCCATTTCCTGTGAGCCTGAGCATGGGCAACTCATCACCTGCCGTTTCCCTCAGAAACAAAGGCAGCACTCCGAGGACGGAGCCAGAACAAGACGGAAGCAATGCGGACCGCTGGATGATCGTGGGAAGCACAGCCACCCACGGACGTGTAACCCCGGGCTTCTGTGAGGCAGAGAAATAGACTTCAACCCTGATGGAGTCCTTGCACTTCTGACTCTCTCTGGTACGGCAGGGACTAATCCCTGGAGAATGACAGCATGTTGGGTAAAGTAGAGGAGGTCCTAAACAAGATGTATTGACACAGTGGCTGTTAACTATGGGCTCAAACATGAAGAACAATTAGGAGGATGGCATAAGGACTGGGCAGTGTTTTGTTCTGCTGTGAAGAGGGTTGCTATGGGTGGGAAAGGATTCCACTGCACCTAACAACGGTGCATCACTCTTAACATATACACTCTCCTAGAATCCATTTTCAAAGAGTGATCTTTAAACAACTGTCATACCATAATAGTAATACCTCTTTGCAAATTCTTATTCAAAATAAAAACTAAAGTCTAAAGAGAACCTTCATGACCTGTCCCTCTGTAACCTCTCCTGTCATTTCGAACCCCTAGTTCAGTGTCTCGTGGTTAAGCATTGGGCTGCGACCTGCAGTGGGCAGTTTGAAATCACTAGCCACTCTACTCCCATAGTTACATACAGCCCAGAAAACCCACAGGAGCAGTTCCACCCTGTCCTGCAGGGTAGCGATAGTCGTCATCTAGCCAACAGCAGTGAGTCTGTTTATTTTACGATGACTATTTTATTGGGTATCCCTTTGCTCTGCAGCGAATACACTGGATTTCTCGTTTCTCCAAAAATATTTCTAAAACATTTCTACGCTGAGGCCTTTACATTTGCTTTCTTTCCCACCACATAGATCACCCAATCACTCCCTCATCTCCCCTATGTAAAAGGGCATCTCTTTCCTCCCACACCCCACTTTCACTTATCTTGAATATCCCCTTTCTTGTTTAATTTTTTCCAATGTACTTTCCATGTGATATGCGTATTTACTTATCTTCTGTCTCCCTATATCAAAATGTAAGCTCCATGAAGGAAGGAGTGGCTTTATGTTTTTATCATCTCATTACTGAATACTGGGCACCTAGAATACATAGTAGGTGCTCAATAAATATTTGTTGAATGAATAATGTTGCAAGTAATTATATACTCATTAAATTATTTGCAACATAAAAAAGATTACTCTAAAAAATGCTATAACCTTTCAGCTGCTTGTCTATCTATACCAACAATTACCTAAAAATAAAACGAATTTTTCTCAAGGTCTCTCTGTTTTTTGTCTCAATGAACTGTCCAAAATTTTAGAACAATGTTAAATAATAAAAAGAGCAAGCATTCTTGACTTGTAACTACTTTTAAGTGGGTGAAACAACACTTGAGCAGGGATAACAAACTTAAATGTAAATTAAGGCCAGACTCCTCGGTAGGAGAAATGCGAGAAATGTGTGAAGTTAAAACAAAAGAGAATGTTGGGGACATGACGTGAGGCTGTCTGTGGCTTATCTAACAGCATTCAAGTAAAACTAACAAACCAACCAACCCCAAACATTCAAACTACTATACTTTCCAAAGGAAATAGGTCACACTCAGTCCACTGTTTATCATACTGGAATTAGTAACAGGGGCATTACCAGAAAAAGAATTTTAAATCTATCTAAGTAAGAGTACTACATATTTAGATATCTAAACATATCTGGAAAAAGGAAAATCTAAACGAGAAAAATTAAGCATTAATTTGCATGAAAACCTATTCCTTCCATTTCAAAATTAAGTTGTTTACTTGAGTATTGAATTTCAGGCATATGCAGACAATAGGAAGTGTGGCAAGAGACGAATGCAGTGAATATATATTCAGCAGTAAAATAAAAGGTAAAGAGTAACTTTTTATTCATTTATAAAATGAGCTTGTTATGTTACCTGGAGGTCTTCGATAATTTCTTTTGTCTTTTGAAGGCATTGATTGGATTCATTCACTTTTGCTTGGAGTTTTGCTATCAGGCCGTTAGTCATCTCAAGCTCTTTCTGCATCTTGATAATCTTGCTTTCCTTATACTTAGCACTTTCCTTAGCTTCATGTAGTGAAGCTTCTAGTTCTTGAATTTTCTATTAAAAAAGTACATATACATAAAGACTGGCATGAATACACAATCACAGCAGATATGTCTAAGTCAAGGTATCATAATGGGCTCTTGTTAATTTATAAGCTAGTATTTGCGTAATTTACTGTTTACTTCAAATCTGAGCATATTAAATAGGTGTTCACATTAGAAACTAGCACCACTTAAAAGACATTTGTTAACCGACTGTCCTTATCTTTCCCTTTATTTTTACCAGTGTTTTAATATTGAGCAGTTCAGGTAAATGTAAGAAAATCCAAAGGCATAAAGTGAAAAATAATTCTCCTCACCTCTGACACTCAAGTGACCCAGAGGCAATAACTACAGTATTTTTTAACATAATTGCTACATATTTTTGCCAAGTATATAATTTTGTCGAGCGCCATGCCGATTTCCTATAAGCACTCTGCTTATGTGTGCATTATATATCATAGGACTAGCTCCTGTGTTTATCCTTTGAAAATTTTTCCATGTGTATCTAAGTTTGTGTGAGGTTTACACTCACTTATACACAAAAAATGAACATACTGTATATGAAGGGTTTCAAAAAGTCCGTGGAAAAATGTAATTATAGTGAAAATTTTCAATGTATGTTTCAAAGCTCTGTTTATTTACCTTTCTAACTTGACAATGTATTTCCCAGGTCTTTCCATAATAACACATTCAGATCTCTCACTCTCCTGTTTTCATGGCTACATAGCATCCCACTTCATGGAGGCACCTTTGTTTACTTAGTTACTGTGGCAGTTACATAATCTCCTGTCAATTTAAGCCAGCGGCTCTCAACCTGTGGGTCGCAACCCTTTTGGAGGTCGAACGACCCGTTCACAGGGGTCGCCTAAGACCATTGTAAAGCATATAAATATTTCGCAATATATAATTACATATTGTTTTGTGATGAATCACTATGCTTTAATTATGTTTTATTATGTTAAATTTGTAACAATGAAAATACATGCTGCATATCAGATATTTACATTATGATTCACAACAGCAGCAAAATTACAGTTATGAAGTACCAACGAAAATAATTTTACGGTTGGGCGTCAACACAACATGAGGAACTGTATTAAAGGGCCGTGGCCTTAGGAAGGTTGAGAACCACTGACTTAAGCGAAGGCGTAGTCTAGCCTGTCATCAGGCCGCAGCTTGATGGCCTCATTTGGAGGCGCAATGAAGATAAATAGCTCACAGGAGGCCAGACCCACTCTCTCTGCCTTCCCTTTCTTGCTGTGGAGACACTGAGAGGGCGGTAGAAGACACGTGGAGATCCCTACAAGTGTTGAGATGCTTCCAGCTGCCTCCAGCTCCACAAGAGCTTCTACCCAACTCATCTTCCTGCATTCTGCATCATTGCCAGGCTGTGTGAGTCTAAAGAGGAATTTATGTACGGTATTAGTATAGGACATACGGACTAATATCAGACTTATGGACTTGATCTGGACTGAGTTGGGATGGCTTCTTAATATACAATTACTCTTTGCTATAAAGCTCTCTCTTACACATATATGAGTGTTAATCAATTTGTTTCTCTAGTCAACCCAGGCTAACAGTTACCTACTAATACACATTAAGGTTCCTTAAAGATTGCTGAAAGTACAGATTAATGTAGGATAAATGTAAGTGCTTAAATTTGTTCATATTTTTAAGGTACTTTTTACTTTGTCCTTTGAAATGTCTTTTTTCCCCCTCCAACCCACTTGGTATTTATTTTTGCTAAATAAAAAGAATTTGGCTAGCCAGTTTTTCAAGATAGCAAGTCATGCTACAAACAAACTATGTTTTTTCTTGGGTTGAGCGTTCCAATTATCATATGGTGAATTATCATAGTTATTGCTTGTATGACTTAATTATATTAGCATATATTTTATAATGGTATAGGGTATGTCCTAGGGCTTTAGAAGAATTTCCTCTGTCTTACTGTTTATCTTACAGTTTGCCTCTTTTTTATTTCTACCAGCTGCCTTAAGTCTGTAGTCGTGAGTACATCAGAGAACTGCATGCTACTGCTCTTCTATATTCCATTCATCAATCATTAATTATTAAACTAGTGTTTGAGTAAGATAATGATTTGAGTGGTATAATTTGATAAGATAATGTTGTTAATAAAAGCACTTAGTTTGGTAAAAATGATCAATTGTAATTTACTCTGAGGTTCTCCACTAAGTGATTATGTTACAATAAAAGAAAGCGATATGTTTGTTCATGTTTAGACTCTAAAATAAGGGTAACTAATAAAGTAATTATAAAAACCATTTACTGTACTGATTCTTGGATACTTGTGGTAACATAGCAGGTTAATCTATGTAAGAATCCTGTTTCACTTTGTCTCATACTTTTATTATAACTAAATTAATCAACATTAAATTATGTTATATAAATTAAGTAACTAAATTATCTGTGAGGGAATTCAGACTCATAATTCAAAGGTGACAGTCACAATAGAACTATATTTTAAAAATAAGCCCATCTTGGAACCAAAAATTATGTCCACGTTCCCTTCAATACTGCATTATAAGGATGCCTCTTGAAATCTGCGCACATATACAGGTACGAACACCTGGTACCAATCATCTAACCTCTGAGGCTAGTTGTGTAGGTCTTGAAGTAACAGGTCGATCCCCATCATTTTCTGCAGCAGCATTAACAACAGCACGGGACGTCCGAGAGGTCTTCCTACTCTGGTAGTTCTTGCGCATCCTTTCAGTTCCCTCTCTCATCGCTCTCAGGTCACGTTCCCATTCTTTGGCTGTGGCAGCACTGCTTTCTTCAAACTCCGTGGATTCACTCATGATGGCCTATTGAATGGCAACACATTATTGAAACTCTTACGTGAATTACTAGATTAATATTACTATTAATATTCAATATATTAATATATTCAATATATTAATATATCCAAATTCTTGAAGAACAACCAGAAATTCACAATTTTGAAAATTCTAGAATAGGACACTAAAATAATGTAAACATCTTTTTTTGTGGCTTCTATCAGTTTCTGAAATTTCAGGATGTTGGATGTTAAAGATGGGAATAAAAGAATAAGAACTGGAGAGGATTCATATTTATCTTTAAGATAAAATCTTACTTTATTCAGTCAGTACTTACATGTAAAGAGGGAACTGAAGATTTGCGCAGTTAAGCCATTATATGTGATGGCTAATGACAAAATATTAGCTGACATCTAATAGCAGTGTACATTTCGTAGACTTAACAGTGACCTATTTTCCTGTGTCCTGCCAAGCCTTAAAGTTTATGGGAAAAATAACTCATTGGCTTTTTGTGATTAATCCAAAAATCTTGTTTTTTCTGTGTAGGAACAACAACCAGTTCATTCTCATTTACATCTGACAATATCCTGAATGCCTTACTGTTATTTCTCCAGGTGTTAGAAAAAGTTATATACCTTTCCTGATCCACATCAGCGATAGCCCCTATACTTCTTGATCATAGCTGGGCCTTCAATATTATTTTAAAGAACCCTACTTAATTACATCAAAATTATCTTATTCGAATACGGATTTTTTTGTGTGTCTGCTTCTGTTGACAGTAAAAAAAAAATTTAATTGCCCATTTAATATTTGCTATCTCTGGCTATTCACAAAATGAAATTAACTATCTATGAAGACACTTGTTTAAAGCACTGCATTGTATATCAATGTGATTTAAGTAACGTTCCCAGATGAAATTAAAGCATCAGAAATTTTTAATTTGAAAACACAAAATATAAAAATAAACCTTGGAAGGAGTAATATTAATCTAGCATCTTATGGGCTAATTTCATATATAACAAGCAGCCTATTGATTAGCATATGTTTTAACAGGTACATAGGGCTGCTTCAGAAAGCAGAAACGAACATTCTGACAACTGAAAAGTCAAACATATGAACAAACTTACCTCAACCAACTGCCCTCAGGAGCAATGATTAAAAATCACAGTTTGTACCCCAAAGATGAAAGATATTATAAGGGGCTTCAGAAAATTCACAGAGAACAAGGAATGAAAAGGTCACGGAATTTCCCTAAAATTTTTTGGAAGCCCCTCATATTGATAGTAAGAAGCCCAGAAACAATTGTAACCAGTCAGGTGTCAGTTCTGCCTACACAGCTGCTAATGCCTGTGTTCCTGAAATAGGCCCTTCTCATTTCGTCTAAGGCGATAGCCCATCTACTACTATTCCTGTTTCCAAACTTCTTTGGTGCCTACTGCTTCTTTTTCATAAGAAAAAAAATAAGCTCAGCGCCCGTTGGCAATGAAAGCTTTCTGTATAACAGTCTATAATCTAAGGTACGTGGAGGGTCTGCTTTTGCAGCCCCTGGACCATTCTGGGGGCAGTACCATCCACTCCGGGAACACCTGAGGCAGTGAGGGGAACAGGCTAGATTCCTACAGAATCAGTGAGGAGAAGGGATGTTGCCAAAACGAGCCAAAACTTAACAAACAAACTGATTAGCAATGACTTTGTTACATTCTTTAAAAATACAAATTGATGTGTATCTAATCATCTTGAAGCATGATATCCCAGAGGAAGAACATGGTAATCTTATACATAGAACATTTAAGAATATATTAAAGAAAACATTTAAAATTAAGTTGTTCTAAGTCCATTTAAGAATGAGAAGTTTTAGCAAACAACAAACAAACAAAAAAAGCAGCACAATAAAAATGACTACTTACAATTATTTTGTTATTATAGAAGTTATTCACTTGACAAATCCTATCATTTTCTTGTTGGAGGTCATTTTGTAGTATTTCTATATCAAAACCAGCAGTTAACCATTCTTCCAAAAACCGGGTCATTTCTTTCCTCTTTTCCAGTACTTGTTGAAATTCAGTCTTTATGCTGAGGAAGTCATTTTCTGAAAAGTCTTTGAGAATTTCCTGTGTGAAAATAAACATCAAATCACCTGAGCATTAAGACAGTTTTTATTGAAATACTACCTATATATGTCATTAAAAAGGAGAAAATACTTTGCTGAAAACTCTTCCTTAACATTTTAAAATAAACTAAAACTAGAAATAATTCTAACTTGAAACTGCATTCTAGATAGCTGTATAAAAATTTGGCAATATAGACTAAGTGGCAGAGGTTTTTCTCAATTTTCTGCTAGAATAAAGACTTATCAGAATGATAAGACAAAAATTACAATACTGAAGTGTTTCTAGATTTGGATTTTCTGGTACATTAAAGCAGAAGCCCTGGTAGTGTAGTGGTTGTGTTGGGTTGTGATCCACATGGACAGCAGTTCAGAACTACCAGCAGCTCCGTGGGAGAAAGACTGGGCTTTCTACTCCCATAAAGAGTCACAGTCTCGAAACCCACAGGGGCTGCAGGGAGTCAGCACTGAGTCAAGGGCAGTGAGGTTGGTTCTGGTTTGGTGCATAGAGGAGAGCTTACAGGCAGCATGGGACTTGGCAGTCAACCTCACCGCTGAAAACAGTGAGACGCTCCATGAGAAGATGTTACAACAAGAAAGTTTGTGACCCAGCAACAGATGTAGAGTCTTAGAAGGCATTTGGAAATGACTGAAGTTCCATCAATTTCCACCTGCTAACATTTACCAGTTTCTCTGTATCTGTGGAGGTAGGAAGGGAGGAAATCCAGTACGTGACGCTCTTTCTGTCTGGCCAATACCTTATGCTGCAACCTATTTTCAGCTTCTAATAAATGAAAGTGGCTTGAGCTACATGAAAGGTACTTTCCTACTTGGGAAAAAAAAAGAACTTAAAATCTACGTGAGTTTGTATTTTAAATAAATTATACCTCAATATGTAGATCCATATTCTGGCTTAGTTTGAGATCCACGTGTTCACTGGATGGCCAGTCACAGTCTTGTTGAAGGTGCTGCATTTTAATTAGCAGTTCATTTTGCTTTTCCACTTCACCAGTGAAATCCATTTCAAGCTTATTGATGGCTTCATGGTGTTCCTCCTTTATCTTTGCAATAAGGCTTAACACATACTTACAGAAAAAAAATCAACAAATTGGGAAGGGAAACTTTGATCAACTTTAGCGGATGTTCTAAACTCTCAGGATGTGAGGTGGGATGGTTCTTTTGACTACCCATGTTCCCTTAATAGAGAAGGAAATGACTTCTATGCCCAACTTCCTTCTCGTGGCATCTGGGGAAAACAACCCCAAACCTCTACTTTCACAGTCGTGATCTACTACATCTCCAAGATGCTCTACAAGTGCTTCAATTCCATTAGAGTTAAAATGCAACACGATCCATTTTCCTACTATTGTTTTCTTTTGTTCTTTTTTTAGTTAATGCCAACACCTATCATCACCAGGTTTTCTCAGCTAGATACTTGAGATTTATTTTCAATACGCCCTCCTCCTTTCCACTTCGACAGGGCAAACTAGAGAGTATAACATGCTTCAAGTCTGCGTGGCTTCAAGGTGACAGTCATTTGAATGCCCTGCCCTAAGCCCATGGATCTAAGGAACAAGTCCTAGATCTCAGAGAGACAGGATCCGTGGAAGGATATCAGCCAGGGGGGCACTTTATCTAGAGAGTACATACTACTCCCTACTTTAGTTTCCATCCTTCCTCAATTTCTTATAAATCTGGTCTCTTCCCCACTACTAAACTATTCTAGAGAGGTCACCAATGGTTTGCATAATTATCATTTTGAGGAGGCATTTAATGGCAACACTATACACAGAGCTAGCTAAGTTTCCAATCTGGGACGCGGCCCTGACATCTACTACCAGTTATGTGGACTTAACTACCAGTTTAGGTTGTCAAATGTTTCTTTAATGCATCTCTTCCTCCCTTTTCTACTGCACTTCCCCAGTCTTACTGACAGAATAATTCAAAGATGAAAATCAATCAATCAATGAAATCAGTTGTTGTTGAGTTGATTCTGACTTCTGGTGACCCATGTATGTCTGAGAAGAACTGTGCTCCCCAGGGTTTTGGATAGCTGTGGCTTTATGGAATAGATCACCAGGTCTTTCTTTTGAGGCCCCCCTGGGTGGGTTGAAGCCACCAGTCTTTTGGTATCTTTGCATCTACTCGTTTGTTCCTTTTATAGGACTAACCCCAGTCCACTGTGATCAAGAGGATGCAGACTCACTGCCAGCCCAGAGACCCGGGTTCTGAGACTGTAAATCTGTATAGGGGCAGACAGTTTCATTTTCCTCATGAGGAGTAGCTGGTGAGTTTGAGCCTCCGGCATTGTGGTTAGGTCAATGCCCATCCCAGAGCACCAAGTCACCTCCAAGGGCAGTTTGTTGTGTTCCTCCCACCACTACTTATATCTATCCAATGGCCCCCCCATCATCTACCAGTGAACTTTAGGATCAGCCTCTGGCTTTCACTATAGTCACAGTTTGTGTCGCTTTCTATGTGGTATTTCACAGAGCGTATTTCTCTCACTGCACTCATTACACGTGCATGTCTGCCTCACCTACTGAACTATGAGACAGCATTTATTTCTATCTCCTGGGCAATGGCTAGGCTCATATACAGAGCTCAGGTTCTGACAATAAATGAAGAGGTTCTAGGCGCATGGAATATCTGCACAGGGCATAACGCAGAAGTAAATACATTACTATCAAATATGCCAATTCCCAGAGCAGAATTGAAATAATTTTAATTTTTTACTTAAACTTACAGACATTTATAAGGATATTACTCCAAATGGTGGTACCTTAAGTTTCTCCATGATTCTATGGAATTCTGTGGAACATCGCTGGTTGACAGTGAGAAGTTTCTGAATCTGTTTGGTTTGTGAATATGGAAGTGAAAGCTTTGCTTTTACTTTAACTGAAAGCTCTTTTTGGATTTCAATTTCTTTTTCCAAATCAAGAGACAACATATTCAAGCACTCATAACGAGTATCTATCTCTGAGTATTTCTTCAGAAGTCCCTAAAGAAAATAAGAATTAAATGAACAATTCAATAAATGATCTCAGTCTTAGAATTGTAGTGAAATTTACACTTTAAAATTTAATAAATATAACAATAACAAGAAATCACCATTGTTTTCATGTATTTCCTTTTTAGTTTTTTGCTTAGGCATATAGGCAGACATACAAATATAATTGGGATTATAGCTTATATCATTTTATAAACAACTTTTATTGATTACTTTTTATGATATTTTAAAGGACTACCAAATCCTATGTTTGAAATCTGTTTTTGCTTAATAATATGCAAAATGGATAAATACTTCTACTTGTTTTCTACATTATTGGCACATACATCTAGATTTTGCTACTAAAATACTATCACACAGGGATCTTTAGTCACATATCTTTTATTTCCAATAACTTTCAAAGGAAATATTCTTTAAAATAAATTTATTAGATCAAAGCCACTAACAATCTAAGGAAAAATAGGCTAAATTATTCTCACAAAGGAGTAACCTGACAAAATGAAATATTAAATACACACCCAAACATATGTACACCATCACTAACAACTTAAGAACACCTCATTGCTATTTTCACTCCATCTTTCTATCATTCCTTCATTCCTCCTGTATCAAACTCTCAAGTTCAGTGCCTCCATGACATTACACTGCTCTTATTTAACCCCTAAGAACTATTTTTCCCAACACCGTTTATTGATTAGTCTAATTTAATCCTTTCAATAGCTTTGTGATGCTTTCCTTCTTACATTCTCTGTGTACACACATATACCCCTACTTTGAATTACCTTATCTGATCTAACCAAAGAAAGGTTTGTGGCATAGTGGGTTACACACTGGGCTGCCTACTGCAAGGTCAGTGGTTCAAATCCCCCAGGTGTTCTGTGGGAGAAAGAGGAGGCATTCTGCTCCTGTAACGATTTAGCTTTGGACACGCACAGCGGCACTTCTACTCTGTCCTGTAGGGCCGCTACGAGTCGGAATTGACTCAATGGCACTGGGAAGCTGTGTTTGACTCAACGAATGTGCACTTACGCTAGTATAAGGACTATTCTAATCACTACAGCTATACTGTACGTCCAAACTCACCGTCACTGAGTTGGTTTCAACTCACAGCAGCGACCCTGCAGGGCACAACAGAACTGCCTCTTTGGGTTTTTGAGGCTTTAAATCTTTACGGAAGTGGGCAGCCTCATCTTTCTCCCCAGGACCTGGTGACCAGCAGCTCCTGATGCCCCAGCGCCCCACTCCTGGCTCCATAAAACTCTAACCTCGTCAACCAAGAACACCCATGATTTGAGTGGACACTGAAAAATCTGAAGAGAAATGAGTAAATTCAATCTAGTATATACTGCGGCTTACAGCTGAGTATTAGCTTATGTCTATAGTAGGTAATGTGAGTTAATGGATAAAACGTAAGTGTCTACAAATCAAACTGGCTATTGGTCAGTGTGGTACAGCCACTTCACACATTTTCATTATCCTCTTAGAATCCCAGAGTTTTCTAACTTCAAGTCAGAGAGTCCAACTTCTTCCTCTGCCACTTACTGACTGCAAAAGTCATTGAAGCCAATTCCTCAAGTATACAGAGTACAGTAATTAGCACAATCACAATAATTACCTTCTACATTTCTAGGGTCTTAGTTATATCTGACCATCTGTATACATTACATATATAAGGGGCTCCAAAAAGTTAATAGGAAATACAAATTATTATTTACTTCCATTTTCCCACACGCTTACAGTTCCTTTCTATAGAGACAGACACGTCACATAATAGTTTCTAATACAAACTACAAACTTCATCATTTGTTATTATTTGAAGGAAACAAAATTATACTTATGTTTCTATAGCCAAGTTTTAAAGCAAGTCAGATATGGGCCCAAATCCTGATTTTCCCCACCTACTAGCTGTGTGACCTTGGGCTGAATTCCTCTCCAAGCTGTAGTTTCCTTATTTCTAAATGGAGGAATATAAGCTCTCATGCGGTACAGCACCCAGTTCTCCCAAGAGTAGATTTGGACTCTTTGTGGCCCCATGTGTTCCAGAGCAGAACTGCGATCCACAGGGTGTTCAAAGCATATACTCTTTTGAAAATAATCAACAGGTCTTTCTTCTGAGGCATCTCTGGGTGGACTTGGACTTTTCTTTTCTTTTTCTTTTTAAATCATTGTATTGGGGCTCATGCAACTCTTATCATAATCCATACATCCATCCATTGTGTCAAGCACATTGGTACATTTGTTGCCATCATCATTCTCAAAACATTTGTTTTCTACTTGAGTCCTGGGTATCAGCTGCTCATTTTCCTCCTCCCTTCCCAAGCCCCTCCCCTCACAAACCCTTGATAATTTATAAATTATTATCATTTTGTCATGTCTTACACTGTCCGATGTCTCCCTTCGCCCACTTTTCTGTGGACTTGGACTTTTTAATGAATTGCCAGATGTGCTCTTTTCACCCCCAGGAACTTCCTGTGATGTGGTAGGCACTTATTGAACCTTAGCCCATAAGCTCAAACAGGCAGGCAGGTGACAGGTTTATTATAACACAAGGGATAAACATGTGAAGTTCAAGTTGTTACACACACCCGCCCCCGCCCCCCCGCCCCCCCTGCTTTGAGTCTACTATTCGGACTCATTGCAATCCTATAGGACAGAATACCACTGTTCCATAGGGTTTCTGAGGCTGTAAATCTTTAAGGCAGCAGATGGGCTTATCTTTCTCCCACTGAGCAGCTGGTGAGTTAGAACCACATACCCTCTAGCTAGCAGCCCAACACTTAACCTACCATGCCCCCCCAGGGATCCTGCAAGGTGCTACAATGATGTAATAAGCAACATTCTTAGTTCAGGGTCGTAAACAATTGAACAAGGGGCTTCTGAGACTAATGACTTTTCTGCTTTTAAGTAATTTACAGAAAAGCTAGTTGCTGACTAGCGTGAGATGTTAGAGTGGATTCCTGCCTTACATTTCAGGAGGAATCACATTTCCATTTGGAGCAGTCCTGTAGAAGCATTCCTTTGTACTTTTGAAACATGCACACTGGATGCTTGACTGCTGTCAGAAATGTGCTCAGTAATACAGCCATACACAAAGGAAAAATGTCCCACTCTTTGAGCATATCACACTCTAGCAGTGGGGTGACAGCAAACCCTGCTGGCTTTACTCCCAATATGTATTAGGAATTCAAACACTTTTCACTATTTCCACTGCTACCTTTCCGAACCAAGTACCAGCATCTCTGCTTGGATTATTGCAATTACGTTCTTCCTGCGTCCACTCTGCCTATTCAACACAACAACCAAAAGCATCCCTTTAAAATGTTAAGCCATGCCCCTTGATGTCAAAACCCTCCTGTAGCTCTCTACCGCAGGGTAAAACCCAGCGCCACAGCCTGCCCCTGTCCTGCCAACTCTGACCCCATTTCTCTCTCTGTTGCACCTCGAATGAAGCTCCTACCTCAAGGAATTTGGACTTGCTGCTCTCTCCACCTAGAGTAGTCTTCCACCGGGCCTCAAGCCGTAATTATCCTACTGTTTGTAAATGTATAGACTATTAATGTTTAAAAATATTAAGCATTATCAATTATTCCAAGGGAGTTGCTTTGATTCTTCTGAGCTTTAGAAAGCAATTGGAAGGGTACTAACATTCTTTTAAATGAATTAGTATTCGTTTAAATTAAATACTTACTTTTATCCTAAAGCACTTTTCTCTGAGGTTTTCCGTCAGGTGCTGCTTTGCATCACGCAGTGAACTCTGTTCATTTCTCGTTACTTCTCTGTGGCTCTGTGGGTCCTGCTTCAGTGTCAAGAAAGAAATAAGGCTTCAGCTACAAGTAACGCTCACAAGTGATGTTTGGTCATAGACATTGAATGTTTTTTTGACATTGTTTCTATAATAGAATTAAGTACTATTCATGTTACTAAAGCTCATGTTAAAAACAGAAAGCAAATTGATAGATAAAATCACTTAGTCTATCAGAAGTGACCTGAAACTCACTGGGAAAAGTAGTGGGAGAACCACATATTTTTCCGAGAGAGGATTTGCATAACTATCTTAATTGCCAATTAGGTTTCAGATTTATTTCTAGCTCCTAATCTTCCAAGTCTCTGCACTGTCAAGGTCACTGCCAGCTAAACGGACACAGTGGCGGCAACAATGGGCTCAAACATAGCACGGAATGGAAGGGGGCCCAGGACCAGGCAGCATTTCATTCTGTCTTACAGACCAAACCGACTCGATAGTATACAGCAATGACAATAACAACAAATACCCCAGCAAAACCACCGACACCATGTATGATACTCTAAACCACTGTGAGCACCCTGGTATAAAGAATTCACTCTGTATTTTGCATTTTTATTAAAAGTAACTTTTCCCCTCTTATCTTCTTCACTAGTTGCTAAAACAATGCCTGATTGGCCAATAAGTATTTGTTGAATAAATTAAATCACTTAAAAATTTTACTTAGAACCAACATAAAGATGAGTCTCAAATGCCTTAAGTTTTTGTGGGGATCGCAAATAAAATGAGAATGGAAAGCTGTTTTATATACAGATCTCATACAACTTTCTGAATTTTCTTCTTAGACAATGTAATTAAAATGTCAAAGACCTACGATTCTTGATATTAATAAGCAATGACACTGGAACTTCTTTGCACACTCATTTTGTCTTTTGTCATTCTAATTTCATAATAAGTACCAGACCTCTAGGACTCTGTCATGAGCAGGGGAAGGGAACTTAGGTTTACTCTCTAAGACCTTAACCCTTCAAATATCTATCCATGGACAATAATGCTATCTCATTGAGGACAAGCAAGAAGAAATGAAAAAAAAGAAGCAGAAATGTTCTCAACTGATTGTAGTAATGATTCTTGATATGACATGTGAGTTATATGGCAATAAAACAGTTCAAAAGATACTTCAAGATGAATCAAAGGTCTAGGGTTTTAATTTACTCATTCCCTTTTTTCTAACATGTACTATGACAAAGTGATATTTTAATGAAATAAAGTTTTTAGGCGTTAAATAAAAAGAAAATCATGCTATCTCGTGGTTTAATTAAGCTTTTAAAAAACCAGCTTTACTTAACAAGTCTTTTGAATTTAAGAGGCCATCTCTGGAAAAACATTTTGGCTTCGTTTAAAACTATTTCCTACTTGCGCAAGAAATTATAGTAATAGATTTCCCACTATTTTCTTTTATTATCATTTACTGTTTGTAAGTACTTTAGAGGGAAAAAAATGCTGTAAATCTTTTAAAAAGAGAGTAATTCTTATAAATAGATACGAATCAGGGGAAAATTCCAAACTCACTCTAGCTATAATTTCTTTTAAGGCTTCTCTGAATTGGTTTCTCTCCATTTTGAGAGACTCATTTATTCTCTTTAGCTCATCTCTTTCCTTAGCTATAATTTTGATTTCTTCACAGTTTTCATGAAGTTTCTTAGTCAAATGCAAGTTTTCCATATCCAAATTTTGCATAGATAAATACTGGGACTCAAATTGATTCTTCAACTCTTCCATTTCATTCACCTTTTTCTTAATTTTACTGATATCTTCTTTCAATTTAAGAAGTTGGAGTTCTTTTTTCTGAACTTCTTGGATCTTGAGATAATTATAGAACAAGTTAGAAGTCACACAGAGTTCCTTCAAAGAAGGAAAAAACTGTTTTTGTTATATACATATGCATGTCTATGTCTGTACTTCTCATTCTGCAAATCATTCTGGACAGTGACTCTAAAGAAAAACAAATCAATACATACCCTTTTCTGTAATTCATCTTTTGATTTATCTAATTCCTTTTGAATAGTTGAAACCTGGGCAGTCTTTTCTGAAACTTTTTCTTTGTACTTATCAATAGCTTCCTGGTGTTCTTTTAAATACTTGCGAGCCGTTTTCAGTTCCTGTTGTGTTTCTAGATCCTTTATTATTAGGGGAAATTGAGAAATGTTATAAACAAATTAACCTATCAATGAATTATTTAAAACAAATTAAGAAACATCAGAGTTAAAAATCATCACCACAGATTGATGAGGGCAACAGCTGTACATATGTGCTTGATTCAGTGGATGTATGTATGCACTGTGATAAGATTGTACGAGCCCTCAATACAATAAAAAAAAAAATAATGAGGGTAACAAATGTACAAATGTGCTTTACACTATTGGTGTATATATGGATTGTGGTGAGTTGTATGAGCCCCCAGTAAAATGACTTTAAAAAAAATCAGCACAAAAAGCCAAAGCAAAAACATCTACAATTCAAACACTTCAGTAGGAGGTAAAGTGAAAGCTTCTATTCCGAGTGATTACCCCTCAGTTCTGCTCCTGGTGGAATCTGCCCCTCGCTTTGCTCTCTTCACCTCCTTTGGATTTCTTTGAGTCAACCTCACATAAAGAGCACCCTATTCTTATACTTAGTATTCAATTAGACAGGTAAATCCAACTTAGCCAGTGTCTCAATGGGGATTCCTTTTAGCTTTTTGGTCACCACAAATAATGCTACTGTGAACATTGTAATTTTGCCCAAATGTGTGAACATATATTGTTAGAATAAACTACTAGCAGCTGTATGCTGTAGCAATTGCATGCACTGATAGACTGAAATAAATATTGTGAAACTCCTTCAAAGGCTACAAAACGCACAGCTCACTGAGTCTGGTTCCTGAAGAGGCGGAAAGACCCCACTCACTCTGGCTGTGACTTCTCGCAGGTCCTCCTGGAGCTGCTCCAGCTCCAGCTTGAGCATTTCCTCCACTCTCTTCAGCTCGTCTCTTTCTTTCATCACACACTTCTTTTCTTCGAGATGTTCGTGGAGTTTCTGAGCCAAATTTAAATTCTCCATTTCTATTTTATCCAGAGTCAAACTTTGGGCCTTTAATTGTTTCTTCAATCGTTCCACTTCAGATATCTTTTTCTGGGCCTCACTGACATCTTCTTTTAACTTACGAAGTTGGTGCTCGTTTGCCTTCTGTTCTTGGATCTTAAGATAACCACAATAAAATATCAGGGTATAGAGTGTTTTTAAGGAAAGGTTAAAAAATAGTTCTAAATGATTGACAGTAGCCTTTCTATGTCATTCTTAATAATAGCTTACATAATTCCAGAGAATTTCTTTCCTAAACGTATGAATTCATAGCTCCACTCATCTCAAATGATTATCTCTATGCAACCGTAATCTACATGATTAAATAGAACATTTCTAGCACCCTCTGCAAGAAGTTCTAACCTTTCTCATCCTAGATCACTTTCACGGCTATTGAACTTTGTATATAAATGGAATTCTGGAGTGTGCAGTGTTGTGTCTGGCCTTGACCCAAAATAATACCTGTATGACTCACCTATGTTGCTATAAATCCCAGTAATTTGTTCTTAAAAACACACACATGAAAATCACTAGGTAGTATTTGTTGGTAGAAATATATCAGAAAGTATTTCAATATTCAGTAGACAGGTAGTTGGCTTTTTAAGTTTTTGCTATTATGATTAAACCATTTGTGAAGTTTTGTACATTTCTTTTGTGGAAATATACATTCTTTTCTGTTAAGGACACACCCAACCAGAGGAAGTACTGAACTCTGAGAAGTAGTTTTCAAGATAGTGGACTGTGTGAGATCCTCAAGAGCTGTGAGGTTCAAGTCAATCAACTGTGCACTCAAATGAAAGCTCACTCCTCCCAGCATACCTTTTCCTGTAACTTAGCATTTGACGCTTCTAGATCCTTTTGCATATTGAGCATTTCATCTGCCTTCTCAGAAACAATCCACCTGAGTCTATCAATGTTTTCCTGGTTCGCTTTCAGATGCATGTGAGCAATTTTTAGCTCCTCTTGCTTTTCTAGATCCTTTATTGTCAGAGAAATCTCATGAATACAAACATATAAGACTATTAGCCATCTCTCTTTTTTAATCTTAATGCTAATTAACAAGAAGTTTGAATAAAAGAGACATTCTCTTGTGAAAAAAAACTTTTACTTTCTACTCTACATCTTTATTGCTGCTGGAAAGTTCTAGGACTTTCCATTCCCCGTCTCCTCCTCCCTATGCCCTAAACCCTACTTTCCAGAGTCAAACACACTGCACACAGACGATTCTGCAGCTTGCTCTTTTCTCCCGGTGTTATCTTGGGCTTCCAGATTGGGTCATTCAAATCTATTATTTTATTTTTTTACATGTTGCACAATAGGTGAGATATAATGCGTGTTTACCAGTGTCCTTGGGCTGGCCATTAAGGCCATTTCCAGTTTTATACTGAGAGCCACTGCAATAAACGACCTTGTGAGCTGTGTTTTCTTTTTTCCCTTCTATATTTTAACAACTGAGTCATTACATATGTAGCCTAAATTCCATGGAGAAAATGTTAGTTTCGAAATTAAAATTTTTCACAAATACTGATTTATCGTCCTAAATGATTATAGTCTCACCAAGACCATTGCACATTTTCAAAGAAGTGTTACTTCTTGTAAGAAAAACCATCTTCTCTAGCTAGGAAGAGGAGTAGATGCTACTCACTTTAGTTTCTGTTTCTTGCAGGCTTTCTCTGAGCTGGTCTCTCTCCCTCTGGAGGAACGCCTGCCCTCGCCTCAGGTCATCTTTTTCCTTAGTGGCAGACCTCAGTTCGTCCAGGGTTTCATGAAGCCTCTGGGATAACTTCACCTTCTCCATTTCTGTGCTTTCCAGAATCGAGTTCTGGGTCTCTGACTGCTTCTTCAATTGCTCTATTTGGTACATATTTTCCTTGAGAGCATTTTTTACCTTCAGAAGTTGATGTTCTTTCTCTTGAAGTTCTTGGCACTTGAGATAATCAGACAACAGTTTTAGATATAGGTAGATGTAGATAAAACCCTTTAATAATAGTTTCTAAATTGCAGGAGCAAATCTCTGGTCCTCAACTTTGAGTTAATTCATATCCCATTTCATTACACAAAACTTAGTTCAAACTCTTAGTCACTAAGTTAACACTGCTAAAAATATAAGATACCTGTGCTTTTAAGGAAGCATTTGAATTCTTCAAATCCATTTGCATGTTTGATATTTTATCTGTCTTCTCTGAAACAATCTCTCTGAGTTTATCAATAGTTTCTTGGTGCTCTTTCAGATGTAGATGAGCAATTTTTAGTTCCTCTTGTCTTTCTAGTTCCTTTATGGTTAGGAAAATTTGGCAAATCAAATCATCAAAGGATATCCTTGAGTATCTTAATGTCATGTTGGTTTTATAAAGAATAACATACACAAAAATACATTCAGAGTAATAGAATTCTGGCTGTATACAAAGATATAGGGCTAAAAATAAAAGTTCCTCCATTACCAGGCCTTGCACTCCCAGCCTTCTAAATCACTTTTAAACAAGCTCTCTAACAAAACCTCAATTAAAATTTTATTTTTTAAGATGCAATACAGCAGTCCATAGTGTGAATTTGCAACATTCCTTTAAACTAAAAAAACTCACTACTGACTCATAGCAACCTTATACAGCAGAGTATAACTGCCCCACAGGATTACCAAGACTGTAAAACTAGGTAATCAGACTGCCACATCTTTCTCATGTGCAGGAGCTGTGGGATAGACCTGTTGACCTCTTCAGTTAGCAGCCAGGTGCTTTAGCCAAAGTAGCAGCAGAAGACCTTCTTTAACCAATCCCTTATTAATGGATAGATAGAAGTCCCCCAATTTCGTTGTATACGTTGTCACTGTAACTTACTGCAATGACGATCCTTCAACAAATATCCTTGCACAATTGTGTAAATGAATGTGTACAGGACAGCTACAATGGGACTGCCTTTAGGGTCAATGAAGAAGCATATTGGAAAATTTGAAAGACTTACTAAGTATCCCTTCTCCTATCTTCTCTAAGGGTTAGATCAATTGACATTCCCACCAACTCCACTGCCCATTCGTAATCATCTCCACATTTTAATTGAAAATGTATACATTGTTTTCTTTCATAAAGGATATGAGGAACACAACAATCAGATATCATCTTCCCAGTGAAGACAACCTACCTTTGCCTGTAATTCAGCATTAGAAATTTCTAAGTCCCTCTGTATATTTGTTACTTGATCTGTCTTCTTGGAAATGTCCCTGGTGAGTATGGCAATAGTTTCTTTGTGCTCACTCAGATGCATATAAGCAGTGTCTAGTTCCTCTTTTGTTTCCAGTCCCTTTATGATGAGAGCAAAATGAATCATAATCAAGCTTAAAAAATAATCATCATCACCATCTTTTGTTGTTTATCCAAAAACCTAAGTAAACTTACTTTAGCTACGATTTCACTAATATTTTCTTTGAGTTGATCTCTCTCCCTTTGAAGGACCTCTTGCACCCTTTTCAGTTCGTTTCTTTCCATCGTTACACTCTTTATTTCTTCTTGGCTTTCCTGAAGTCGCTCAGCCAACTTGAGCTTCTCTGTTTCGACACTGTGTAGCAGTGAATCTTTGACTCTGAGTTGCTCCACCAGTTGCTCTTGTTCACTTACTGTTTCTTGTGTCTCACAGGTTCCTGTTACACTAAGTTGTTGTTCCTGTTTGTCACGAAGCTCTTCCATCTTCAAATAACAATAGCAGAAACATATTAGACATATACACTTTTTAAAGGGAAAAGATGTATAAAAAGACCGAGATTCTTTCCAGTGATTCCACATCTACCTCCACTATTTCCTCACTGTCAATTTACCTTTTCCTGCAATTCGGCGTTGGCTGCTTCCAATTCCTTTTGAATGCTTGCTATTTCAGTTTCTCTTTCTGAAACATTCACTCTCAACTCATCAATGGTTGCCTTATGCTCCTTCAGGTGCAAATGAGCAATTTTAAGTTCCTTTTCAGTTTCCAAGTGCTTCAGCGATAGTAAGAGCGAAATTAAAAAAATATTATAGAAACATTGTAACCACTACACTATAATTAACTCCTTTTCCACAAGTTTCTTACAAAAATATTTGCTTACAAATTACTTTAAGAAATATACAGGGAAAAGAACTGAAACCTACTTTACAGGTGAGTTCCCCTATGTCTTCTTTAAGTTGGTCGCTTTCAGACTGAAGAGCTCCTTGGAGCCTCTTCAGGTCATCTCTCTCTTTAGTGACAGACTTCACCTCATCGTCACTTGCTTGGAGTTCCTCAGCTAACTTGAGCTTTTCCATTTCTATTCTTTGCACGGTGGCATCTTTGGCTTTGAACTGCTCCTTCAGTTGTTCCATCTCACTCACCAGCTTCTCAGTTGCATTGTCTTTGTCACTCACACTGAAGGATTGCTCTTGCTTGTCTTGAGCCTCTTGGATCTTAAAGGAATCATAAAAAAAAAGATGGTTGGTAGCCTAGAGAATTTTTACTTTATGGGTAAGCGTCGGGATGCTTCCATAACAAGTAAGGCTGCTTCCAATGGATCAATCACAGGGTAGTCTCATCATCGTCCACTCTTGCATTATTTAGACAGCAAACACCTACCTACTGTTGTTCACATAAAATGGTATGTAGGATACACACGGCTTGTCTCTTTAAGACTTACAGGTCAGGAGGAAAGAGACATTCTGCTACTATCTGTTAACAGATGTGCTGGGCTCTCCAAGACTATTAGTGGCAAACTAAACCTATTGTGAGTAGTTTGGAAGGGCTTCCTGGAGGGGAGAAGCTGAGAGATGGAAGATGAGTGAGCTGCAACCAATGCGGGTACGGAAGTACTCTCAGTAGGAAAAAGCAGAACATCTGGAATTCATCATCGTCATCATAAAAGACTAATGTTGCTAAAGCCTGATGAGCAGAAGGAAAAATAAGTTGAAAGAAGTATAGAGAACAAGGACCAGCAGACTCAGTGTATCACGGCCATGTGAAGGATTCAGGTCTCTATTCTAAGAGTGAAAAGATGCTCTGAAGTGGTGTGAAGACCACTGGCACAAGCAGTTATGTGTTACAGAAAAGGTCGCTATGGCTCAGATGGGAAATGGATAACAGAAGGACATGAATGAGTGTGGGGGCCCGACTAGGAGGTTAGTGCAAAGACCCAGGGAAGGACTGATGGTGGCTTGGCATTAGCGAGGTAGACAGTGAAGCAGGAGCACACAGCTATGTAGACACACATATAGAATCAAGGTCTAGTGACTGGAGACTGGAGTGGGTGACAAAGATGACTTCTAGCTGAAACAATGAGGACCGTGGAAGTCCCTTTTGAGAGGTGGGCTAGAGGAGTAAGTTCAGAGAAAAGAAAATAAGGAACTTTTTGGCTTTCCCCTTTCATTTAACTTAGCATTGTTGTTTCCTATTCCATTTCGAATATGAGAAAATGGCTAACTTCCATGAAATATCTTCCCTTAGTTTCAATAGTTCTTTGTATTCATATAGTTGCACATGAACAGTTTTCATTGTTTCTAAGTACTGATACACAGTCATAAAATAAAAAAAAAAGATAGCGACATTATAACCTTAGTACAAATGCCTCTTTTTCCTATGACCTCATTCTTAGAAAACATTTACTAAATGGAGGAAAAAGAAAAAGCTTACTTTAGCCAAAGTTACTCTTATCTCCTCTTTCAACTGGTCACATTCAACTTGAAGGGTTTCTCTTATCATTTTCAGATCATCTTTCTCCTTAGTCATAGATTTTATTTCTTCGTGACCTTCTTGAAGTTTCGTCATCAACCCTAGCCTGTCCAGGTCTATGATTGCAGGTGCTGAACCTTTGTCTTTCAGTTGCCCTTCCGGTCGCTCCAGTTCACCTGTTTCCCACATTTCACTGATTCCGTTCACATTAGGAAGTGGCTCCCGTTCCACATGAAGTACTGGGCTCTTGGGATATCATACGTCAGCAAAGTTGGAATCCAGAGGTTACAATTTTTAAAAGGGAGAAGATCAGGATACGTCATACAACCATTGATTAACTGTAAACCTACAGGGCCACTTCAGGTCACCATTTCCTATGTACTCTTTCCCCCTTATTTCCCCTAAAATGCAATACGTTTGCGCCAAGCATAGTTTGTCATGACTTTCTTTCTAGCTTACATTCAAAAGGGAATCATTCTCTACCAGCACTCCCTGTACAAGTTCTTACCTTTACCCAGCTGATAATCTAACCAAGTGTGCACATATGTTTTCATTTCTACATGAGCTATTATTCACTACTGCTAGAGAAAAAGCATAGTTGCAGCCCAGTAAAATGGTTCTTACTCTCAGATCGGCCTCAATGACAATTTTCAATTTTTCTACCTATGTAGATGGATTCACCTTTTCCAAAATCATCAGTGATAGCATGCAATTTTGTACACCATATTCTACATGTATCATATTGGCAAATTTAGGACATTTTTACATGCTTATATTGGAGATACATGATAATATCTCATTAATACTCATGGTCTCAATGTCCACCAAACATGAGGCTTTTAAAATAGAGGGGTCTCGTTATCACAATGTTTCATGAACGCCATAGCATTTCCTTTTAACGGAAGTTACCTTATTCACACTTGTTTGCTTATCAGTTGCCTTCTTCCATTTACAAAGTAAGCTCTAAGAACACAGGGATTTAGTCCCACCAGATTTCCATCAGCTAGGGCTGTGCCTAGCACGGTAGGCCTTCAACAAATACAGGTCCAAGAAATTAACAAACTATAGCTACTTGCCTTTCTTTCCAACAGGGAGAAAGGAAGGAAGAAGGGGTAAAGGAGGGAAAAAATAAACAAATGAATCAATATACCTTTCCTTGTAATTCAGTATATTTTTTTCCCAAGTCCTTCTGAAGATTTATTATTTGAGTTGTCTTTTCAGAAACATTTCTTCTTAGTTCATCAATAGTTTCTTGATATCCTTTCAGATTCACGTGAGCAGACTTCAGTTCTTCCTTTGTTTCCAGGACCTTTATTAACAAATAAAATTTAGTGTCTATTACAGCATCATCCCAATACTGTCCCACTTATCCCTTCCAATTGGCTCAGATATTAATTTTTGTTGTTGGGGTTGAAAAAATACACAGCAAGACATCTAATTCAACAGTTCCTTCATTTAGAATTCATTAAGCTGATTACGTGGTTCCTCCCTCATCAACACAAGCTCACTGCCCCAGTCAGGTTCCTATCTAATTTTCGAATCATCGCCAATTTGACTTCATTTAGAACGATCTTAAAAGAGCACAATGCTTGGGCAGACATTCTTTATGAGATATGCTTTCATTTGACATGAGGAAAGCTTTAGGGGATATTTTTGGTTTAAGGTTTAAAGGGGATCACAGGGCAATAGTTTTAGGGGTTCACCCACCGTCTATGTCCCAAGAATTATAATTTAAGATAATTTCTGTATTTCCCTCCTTTTGATCAGGATTCTTCTATGGCAGTGGTTCTCCACCTTCCTAATGTTGTGACCCTTTAATACAGTTCCTCATGTTGTGGTGGCCCCCCCAACCATAAAATTATTTTCATTGCTACTTCACAACTGTCATTTTGCTACTGTTATGAATTGGGTAACCCCTGTGAAAGGGTCATTCGACCCCAAAGGGATCACGACCCAAGGGTTGAGCACTGCTGTTTTAACCTAATATCTGAGGCTCAATTCTGCTACCCAAAGAACCTTCGATAGTTTGCAATTTCATATAACTCTTCAAAAGACCCTTTAGTTTAACACTCAAAGAAAATACAGAGCTCATAAAAACACCTGATCAAGATGAAGTATAAAGTAATGTAATTCATAATGTGACCCCTGTGAAAGGGTTGTTCGACCAACAAAGGGGTTGCGACCCACAGGTTGATAACCGCTGTTCGATGGGGATTTTGTTCAAAATGTTCAGTAAAGGTAGCTAAGTACCATCCAATTCTTATGGTCTTATAGGAAATATGCAGTTGTTCATAGAGGCTATTAGCCACACATTCTGAATCCTCTGATTCTGGACTCTACTTGCCTTCTGTTGCTCTAGGCTGCAGAATAGAGACCAACTGTGGTTTGGATGGCTACTTGCAAGACCCTAGGTACTAG